CAAATCTAAAGTCAATGATGAAACTACAGTCACTGGTTGTATATTTCATTATATAGCAGCTTTGTTAAAAATTTCAAAAATTATGTGATGAAAACGATGTTTGCGCAAAATCACTTTTAAAACTATTATGTGCATGTCCTTTTGTTCCAATAGAAGTTTTTGAAATAATTTGCAAAAAATTAGATGCGATTAAAGAAATAAATGATTTTGCAAAATATTTCTTAAATACATGGGGTAAAAAGTAGATGTAATTAACAAGCTGAAAGTATCTGATATGATCTTTTCCAATAATGGAGTTGAGTCATTTAACAAAGTGTTAAACTCTCATATTCATTCCACATCCAACTATTTATCATATGATTTACATCCTTTGAAAGTTGATAAGGTATATTTTCATCGATATGCAAGGCAGCAAAATGACAATTTTGATCATAAAAAATCGTATTTTATACCATTGACAAGAATTCAACAAGAGTTAGATGTATTCACATCTAATTTTGGATTAGAACGTGCAGAAATACCAAGTGAAATAATCAAAAAACATAAAAAATCATTTCGATTTGGAGAGGCCGATTATCGAGATATAGAAATTGAAAAATATCTGAATAAAAATGATGAGCAGTTTTCAAATTCTGTTACAATTAAATTAGAAGAATCCGATGATATAATATATCAATGAATTCGAAATTACAGAAGATGATATTTTGGAAATGAGATTAATTAATTTATGACAAATCATTTAGAATAAAAAATTATTTTATAAGAATTTGAAAATTAATAATAAGGGAAATAGGAACAGTAATATATAAGTATATATGAAGACAAAAATTCAATGAAACAATGTTGATTGATGTACATTGACACAGAAACATTGATTGTGTAATCAATCTATTGAAACTACAAAACTTTGTTCTTGAATCTTCTTGGTGAAAGACAAAATTCAATGAAACAATGTTGATTGATGTACATTGACACAGAAACATTGATTGTGTAATCAATCTATAAAAATTCATTAAACTATTTTAGCTTTCCTTTAATTAATTTTATTATTTTAATTATTTGATCATTAAGTCTCATTGTTTTACAACATCCCCATTCTCTCATTATCTTCGTTTAAATTAATATCTATTTTTAGATTTATTATTATATGAACTTTTGTTTAGGTTCTTTTAAAATAAGTTTCTTTGCGAGAATTAATTATTTTTTGTTTTCCTAAACTTACACATTTATAATGAACATTCAAGCTAAATCGACATTGTTTTGATAATTAAATATGCATTTAATGAAAATATTAATTGTCACTTTTTATATTGTTAATGAAAATGATTTTTAAGTTATAAGGTGCCATAACAATTGACAAAGAGTTATACATTTGTACAAACACATTTGTACACACTAGCATATTGTAGCAGTTTATATTATAAATAAAGATTCGCTTTATTTTACGAGTTTCAAATTTAGATCTGAACCATGTTGAAGATCTTTCAAATCAATACGACAAATACATTTGTACACACTAGCATATTGTAGCAGTTTATATTATAAATAAAGATTCGCTTTATTTTACGAGTTTCAAATTTAGATCTGAACCATGTTGAAGATCTTTCAAATCAATACGACAAATACATTTGTACACACTAGCATATTGTAGCAGTTTATATTATAAATAAAGATTCGCTTTATTTTACGAGTTTCAAATTTAGATCTGAACCATGTTGAAGATCTTTCAAATCAATACGACAAATACATTTGTATACACTAGCATATTGTAGCAGTTTATATTACAAATAAAAATTCGGTATTTATTTTTATAACTTATTTTTTATTACATAGATTTTAATTCTAACCGAAAAATATTTCTAATCTATTTATATACATGTATTTTACTTAATGACATTGATGATATATGCAATTTATATGCACGTTTATCAATTATCAATATGAGCCATTGTATTGTTCATGGTAGTAATATTTGAATTTTAATAGTTGTTATCAACACCACGTAGCTTTTTGTCCTAAATTTATACTATTTGGTTCCGAAATAAGATTATAAATTTTTAAATTTAAATTCGACTTTTAAATACACTACTGATCGATTGCTTATATTGAGTTTCTGCTTTGCAAACAAGTTGAGGTTATAATTGTAAGTTTATTTGTATGAAATAAGAAATAATATATGTGACATTTGGATTTTATGCTACCATTTTTCTAAACAGGTGGTAGTGAGTCATTCACTTAAATATTGAGTAATCTTCAATAATGTGTAACGAAGATTTCTCTGAAACCATTAAAATAACGTATATAAATAATCGTATGTCAAAATGTGTGCCTATTTCAATTTTGCACACATTTTGACAGAAATTTGAATGAAATTTAGAGGTTTTTCTTCAAATTTGAATGATGCTTGTCAGAAAAAGTGTCAAAATGTGTGCAAATTTGTGCTATGTTTTTTTCTCTTATAAATCTACTCCCAGAATCAAAAGAGATAATGCCAAATCAGCCTATAATTATAATAATAAGTTCCTTAAAGGAATTGATTAATTGTTTTATTTGTTTATATTTATAAATTGTTATATTATTCATCTAGTTATATTTTTCTTTGAATACAATGCTTGGATTATCTTTGTCTTCTCGAGTTAAAAATAAATCGTCATCAACAGGATCTGTCGTTATAAAAGTACCTTACAAATAATTTATTTGTTTCATCATTTATGGAGTTTGGAGTTACCCAGAGAAATGTGTTATCATTACATTGAATACGATAATATAATTTGTTATTATCAGCTCGATGAGAAGTAACACGTATACAATAGATTTCCCAGACTTATAAAAAATGAATAATTCTGAACAGCTATACTTTTGATTTAACCAAACTAACAGATAAATAATAAATATTTGATGAATATTCCAGTGAATTTCATTTTTTTATGAAGGAAGTTCACTTTTGGTGTCACCCCCATCCTTTTTATTACTTTTGCAATGAATCTAAAAACTCATTGTTTAAGTGCAATTAATTGTACTCGAGAAGTATCCCCATAGCGATGCTAATCAAGATAGCATTTGGAACATTTACTATGAAGGAATTAGTCCTCCTTCCGAAGTTTTTACCGGTGAAGTTGAAAAAGTCACAGCAGCATCTAACAAATGCTTTGCATACATCTGCAAGTTTATCAATCTTCAAGATAGAGCAGTTAATTTCACAAATACAGTTGGCTACTCGATTTTACTTTGCGAAAACGTTTTTTCAAAAGGTCCAGGTACAGTTTATATTCAAAGTTATAGTAAAAATAACATTATTATTGATAAATTCTGTTCATTTGAAAGTCAAACTCCTACAGATGGCCAATTTACTTATTTATATGGCGAAATTAACAGTACAATCCTCCAGGGATCAATTTGTAATGGAGGAAATAGTTCAGTAAATTTTATGAATTACCAGCAAGATGGTTTTGCATCACTTTCAAAAACAAACATTTCTAACTGTATATCACTCATTTGTCCAAGTTTAGTTATGTTGAAAGTGAATCAACAGTAAATGTTTCATTTTGTAATTTTGAGAATTTAAAAGCAACTGGTTGTGGTATTACTTCGTTTTCTCATTGTCAAGGAAGAATTGACCGATGTAATTATATAAATAATTCTCAAGAGCAATATTCTGGATTAGTTTATATTTCTATATATAGACTTGATATTTTCAATTCATCTTTCCAAAACAATCCTCAGATTAACAAAGGAGTTTTATTTCAATCAGATTATGGTGGACAGATTTATATACATCAATGTAGTATTGATGATTTATCAACTGATGGAACAGTTGATGTATCAGATCAAGGAACAGAATCATTTAAGAATAATTTAAAATTCATTGATTTAAGTCCATGTGAAGGAAATCTTGAAATAGTATTATTATTTGTTCCAAAGAAAGAAAATAAAATTTGTTCTTCTTTTAAACTTATAAATTTTCTTTTTGGTAAATTTTATATTTCACTTTTGTTTATTGATTAAATGATAAAAATTTCAATTACACATGCTTTCCACTTCCTGACATACTCATCACACATACGTGTATAGTAATCCTTGAACTGTTTAATGTTTTGTCCTTTATTTCTATAGGTTGCAGCCTTAATCGCCTGATTTTTTTTTGACAAATATATAATAAGAATCTTGGGACAACTGTCCAAAAAAAGTTATTTGCCAAGTTTCAGAAGCATTTCCATACATGAGGGTTAAGACAAGACTTAAGAATCCACGATCAACATTAGGTAAATCTATCAAAGAAATATTAAATCGAGCAGGCAAGCGACAAATTTCACATCCAAAGCAAAACCAAACTTACGAAAACGATGATTCTGCATCAGAAAGTCGGCGAAGTAGTACAAGAATTAACGAAATCTTACATTTTCAAAATAACTTTGTTAAAAACAATTCTAATTCAAATTTAATATTAGAAAGTATATCAGAAGAAGTCGAAGATCAATTATTTAACGAATCACCAATTAAAAAATCTATTAATAATAAAATTTCTGAATTAATTCCATCACAAGACCAATTACAGCTTGACGACATTACAGAAGAAAAATCTGAAATAAATACATCAATAATTTCCACAAATACAAAAAATTCATATTCATATCTTGAAGAAGAAGAAAAAGAAGATAATTTCGAGTTTTATCCAGAATATGACTATTACAAACCTCGTCAACCTTACGAAAAACCTAAGAAAGGCTCAAAAAGAGTCAAAAGAAAACCAAATGCCGCATTTATTGAAGAACAACAAGAATTAAACACAGGAATTGATATTGAATCTTCCCAATTAAAATCAACAATTATTCAAAAAGATTTCAATACTTTGTATTTATATAAAAATATCCTCATTTATTCAGCGAATGCACATACATTGTACTATAATTTAGTTTATTCCACTTATCATTTACTAAGACTGAAGAACAATTTTATTTAAAGTTGATTTATTCTTAAAGGTGGAAAATGTTTATTTAGTTTTATTCTTTTTCATACCAGAAAGCAAGATAAAGAGCGAAAGCAAGTACAATTACTTGAATTACAATAACAAAGATACCAACACCTAGAAGAATCTTCTTCCATGCTTTGATAAGATCATCTACTTGTTGGGTGCAAGTTTCAATTGTTGTTGCAGTTGTGTTGTGATAACCACAGTTCTTCATATCTTCTTCGCTATATGGTGTCTTGTAACCACAGCATTCTAAGCCTTCTTTGATACTTTTGATTGTATCTTTGCCTTTGTTTTCATCCCACCAAGCTTGAACAGTAGTGTTAATCTTCTTTACAATACCAATTGCTACGGCAATGATAACAATTTCAATAACAACAACTACAATGAACAGGATTGCGTATGTGACTCTGTAGCATTTAATGTTACCAAAGCAAATAATAAGGAAGCCAAGAATGCATACAATTGCAACAAATACGAAAACAACAATCATCATAATTACACCTGTTTTTGCTTTGCCTAAAGTATCAAGGTTATTCTTTTTGATTGCAGCCCAACCAATGAAGACACATAGGCCAAGAATGAGAAGAACAATGAAGTTGACAATTCCAATAACTGTTCTAGCGCAGCAGGAGCAGCAAGTCATACTTGTGTGAAAATGAAGTTCTCTTTCAAACGTCATACTCTTTTCAATTTTTGATAAATCTTTCAATTACTGAATTATCGACATTCAAATGATATTTTAAGCGACTTGCAAAATATATACAATCATTTATTAATACTTTCTAAACCTATAAATTATGATCTTAAATTTTTTTTGGCAAAAAAATTCTGATCTTAAAAATTTATCAAGTTCGCATTAAACTATTATACTATCAGAAATAATTAATATTATCAACTTTATAATTTCAATTGGTTTTCAATTCAATAAAATCTATTCGATAATTCACAGGGCTCCATTCGGCACTTAATCTTCATAAACACTCCTCTCAATTGATTCATTTGTAATTGATATATAAAATAAATGTTTACTAATAAGATCTAATAACTCAAAAGACGAGTTGTGATATGAAAATATATAAGATTATTTGAGTAATTTCATGATCTTGATACAATATCTAGTCAATTTATGCCTTCAACATTTTTGGGACTCTATGATTTGGTAATTTGTGATATGAAAACTTTGTTTATTGTTACGCTGAATTTTGAAATGAGTTCTGTGAATAAGGAGATAATTGAATTAGATTAGGAATATAGGAATAATAAGCATTGGAACTTTGCTGGTAAGGCATGGGTAGAGGTTGACTTTGTTGATTTCCTTGCATGGAAACACGAATTAATGGTTGAAAGAAATTTTGTTGGTTGATTTGTGGGGGTTTTATCTGGATTTTTTCTGGACAATTCTTATATAGATCATTCAATAAAAATGTTCGATTATCACCTTCAAAAGTTCGATAATTAAATATGTTAAAATGCAATGTAAATTTTGCACGTAAATCTTCATCCATGAACCATTCCCGAAGTTTGATATTTTTAAGTAAGTTACAAAGAGATGGAAAGTCAGATTCAAGCGAAGAACCTATTGGAGTATGAACAATCATATGATTCAAATACTGAATTTTCCTTGTGGTAACATCTCCCGTTATCAAATATTGTTCAAGAGTCGTTGGCCAAAGATGTAAAATCCGTAAAAAAATCAATAACCAGAGAAAGGAAAAAATGGCAATCGTTGTGGTTCTAATGATTGGAGTTTCATCGAAATATGAGATAACTAAACTGACAATTGAGGCTTATATATGCGGTCAATAGTGGAAGTTCATTGAAAGTATTGAATATGTTGCCAATCAAAATTATAATACATGCGAAAATTCTGCCAATTCCGCAAGTGGGAGTGCATGATATGCAATTAAGAAACCTATGTGGTATGTAACAGCATTCACAGCATTTGGGCGGATGAAAACAACAGCTACAACAAAAATAAGTTTCACAGTCAAAATCTACAGTCAGGTTTCCAAGATATGCTTCCATATCATAATCATCCCATATATAATCACTATTGAATGACTGAGAAACCCCATTAACACCATCTTCAATTAAATCATCATCCGATTGATCATTTTGTAAGATAGAACTAATTTTCATCTGAAAAATGAAGTGAATGATTGGTTTGTCAAAAATTTTCACTCCCATATTATTTGTATTTAGGGATAAATCGATATAACATTTTTTAAAGATGTAAAAAATGCGGAAAAAGATGTTGTAAAAGATGTTGTAAAATTATTGAGAACAAAATTGTCACCTAAAAATAAAAGTCAAAAGGTTCAAGAAACACCATTTTTATAAAGAGATACCCCAACAAAAATTGAGGGAGATTGAAAGAAATTGAGATGGAAATAACGCAAACTTTTTAATAAAATGTGCCTTAAAAAGGATGAAAATACTTTATAATTCTGTATATTCTTGAACATTATAAATTCGTCGAATAAAATTTTAAAGATTTTTAAAAATTTAAAAAATGAAATCTAGAATATATTAGGAATACCAGAATATGGTCTTTTATGAAATGTTTCAAATTGAAGTGACTTAAGATAAGATCGATTCTCCAGGTATTTAAATTCTTCCTTTGGATTATCTTGATCATTGTAAGTTTGAAAGATTTGTTGCTTTCGATTTTCTTTGACAATTGAAATCAATTTCTTTACACTGGAAATTGTTTTAAGAACTGATACACCAAAATCGAGTAAATCACAATAGACCTCATCAACACCATTAGAAAACTCATTAAAATCAACTCTTAGTTCACGACAAAATTTTTTTATTATTGGATATATTTCTTTCGATTTGTATGAAAATCTTTGTATGAAATTTAGGTTGAGATAAGTTCGATACTTGATTGCAATAGAATCTAACGATTTAAGTAAACCAGGCCATTCTTTATTAATCCAATATAAGTACTTATTTAGATATTGTATAAAATTTCCAAATTGGAATTCAGTTTGATCTTTCAATTGATAATATTGAAAGAGACTCTTCTGGTAATTCGTCTACATTAATTGAATAAATTAAGTTTAAAAGTTCCATAACTTTTTCATTAACTTTATAAACAGTTGGAGAATAGTTCAAAAAAATCAAACCTCTGTTGACAAGATGTAAGTGGCACTATAAATAATTTTGTAGATGGCGCGAATGCATTGAGAAGAATCTGCATACTTGAGTGAAAGCTATCAGGTAATCAATTGTAATCTGCCATTAAAATTTTTGAAAAAATTTATGTCAAGAGTGAAGAAATATAGGCAAGCAGATAGATAGTAAAATAGAAATGAACATTTAAGTTCTTAATTTTTATTAAAGAAATTGTAATTCAGTGACCTTAAAAAACCGATAACCAAAAAGTGACAGTTCTCACTAATTCCTAGTTCGTTAGCATTCATAACTCACTATTTCTCGGTGCATTATAATTATAGACATCTATAATCTTCAAAAAGAGCTAGCTAGAGTTAAATATATATAAAATTACGAAATGTTAAAAAAAACGACCTTTATATATGAAAGACATCTGTTGTCTTAAATTGTTTTTCCTACAATCTTATTCGTAATTCATCGACAACAAAGTGTCAGGAGAAAAGAAGGAATAGTAGGGAAAAAAAGCATATTCATGTATTAATGCTTAAACAGAATTCGCATCAATTTAAAGTACTTTCATTTCCAAACTAATTTTATATCGAATAAATCCTAAAGAAAAATTGGAACACCAAAAAATGAATGGTATAACTTAATTGAGATTTGAAGGTTCATGCATATCATACAATTACAATATAATGTATGCATTAAATAAATTCCATGAAATATTCTATAGAATAAGAGACATTAGAAATTAAAGATTTTGTTTAAGATATCGCTTAAGAAAAAGAAAGAGGAAAAAAATATGAATAGTTTGTTAATATATTTCAAACATTTATTCATAAAACAATAACAAAAAAAACATATATTAGTCATCTAAAAAGTCATTTTCTGTAAAGAAACCTTTCAATTTCGGATTATCTTTTCTTGCTGCTTCAGCTCTTGCAATTCCAGCTGGTCTTGGCATTAATCCAGCAGGAGGAGGTGGAGGAGGAGTGCTGTCGTCATCCTTGTCTTCGTCAGGTATGTCTAGTTGCAAAAGACGACGTTTTGGAGGTGGTGCCATTTGCATTTTTTGTGGAGGAAGAAGTTTCGCTTTTTCTGCAAGGAATGTTGAAGATTCGTCATCAAACAAACTACTCGATACTTCCAATCCTCTGTAATTACTATTAACCTCTGGCTTTGGTGGAGATTGTTTAGGTCTGGAATAATTATTTCGAATTTGAGGTGGTGGATTGTTGATTGTTGGTGGAATTGCTTCTGATGAACTCTCTACCATGAATGGATTACTTTCATTAACAGATGTTCCTGATTTATCAACGACAAACGGATTATCTTCTTCATCATGGTCACTTTCTGGGATTTCTCCTGGCTCCTCTTCTTCTGTTACGAAGTCTTCAATAGCGAAACTGTTTTCTTGCTGATCATAGTCAGTTTCAAATGGATTTGATTCATATGAAAATTCCCCTTCTTCAGAAGAGCTGTTTCTATGGATATCCTCATCAGGTTGGACATATATGGTCGGTTTAGGTGGTTGTTTCTTTGGAGATTCATCTTTAGGAGGTAAATCTTGAGGTTTCTTCTGAAATTGCATTGATTCCTTCTCTTTTTGAAGCCTTTCAGCAACTTTTCGTCTGATTTGTTCACTGACAACATCGATTTCGCGTTCAAACTCTGATGTTCCCATATTAGCTTTTGCAGATTTTTCTTTATCTACAAAAACTCTTGCTTTATTTAGAGTTGCTATCTGATTCTTTGGCTTATTAGCAGGAACAAATGATGGAGGAACAATATCATCCTGTTCTTGAGGAGGGGGAACGAGATTTGTAATAGGATGGATGATATTTTCTTTTTTGTCTTCAATTTCAGGGAGGGACAATTCATCCGAGTCACTTTCGGGCTTAGTATTGACAACCGTGGCCGGTTTTGTGATTTCTATCTTTGGCTTTTCTTTTGGAGGCTCTTCTTTTGGAATATCTTGCCTCTGGTTGAGCGGATCACGTTTCTTAGTAACATGTTGCTCTCCACTACTCGTAGAAGTGTCACTTGGAGCAAATAAAGCAAATGGATTTAATTTTTCTTCACTTGGAGTTGAAGAAATTGGCTGAGTTTGTACCTTTTGCTGTTGTATCTCTTGCTTTGGCTGAATTTGATTGTAAGTAATGATTTGAGGCGCTTGTTTTATTGGTTGAGTATTTTGAACAATATATGGGGTATTTTGCTGAGTTATTTGAGCTTCTTTGAGTTTTTTGATTTCTTTAAGTAACTCTTCTACGTTTGGTGTTTGTATTGGCGTTTGAGTTCGAATTGAATTCCAAGCAGGGACTAAATCAGGATGTTTTCTCCTAAAATGATTATCAAGATACACAGTACCTTTAAATCTACGTTGGCAGACAGGACATGTTTCGTGGGATCCTCTTAAAGATTCGATTAATTCTTTGGATTTTTGATATGATTCTTCTAAAATTTTGTATTTCTTGGAAAGCCTATTGTATTTTGCATTCTTTTTCTCTACCATTTTGATCAGCTGATGATGTTGATGAAACAGATAATCAATACTAACTTGAAGTAAGCAAAATAGTCTTGCAGAGAGTGGATTATTAAAAGATTTAGTATCAGATTGATTAATGGTGAAAGTTTGGAAAGCAGAGATAAAGTCTTTAACTTTTGATGAATCTTTATTTCGACGAATTACATCAGGATCAAGTTCTTTTATTAGACTCCAGTCAATTGATGAAAATGGAGATACCTCTTGTATTGGGGGTGGAACAAATTGTTGTATTACAGGTTGAGTTATTATTGCAACATTACGCATTAACGAATTATGAAAAGCCAAATTAGTTTAGAACTGGTTTGTTCATACAGATATACTGCAGTTAGTATAACTATCATTATATCAGGGAAAAAATGAGTGATATTATTTTTCTAATTTTTTGAGATGATTCTGCATCGCTCTTAGAGCAATTATACTATTGTATAAGTACGTATAATGTATCCAAATATATTTGTTTCATAAAATTAAAAATTTTATAAAATTTTATTTGCAAGAGTTAGGAATTACATTCACTTACCTTTTCATAAAAATGCCTTATATTCAATTTGAGCTTAAAGAAGTCATAAAAAATTTGAAATATAATTTTTGAATTTCAGAATAGAGAATAATTTACATTTCTCTATCTTTTATGACATTAGTTACAAAAAGGCCAAAATTCTCAATTAATATTTAGATTAAGGAATATTATTTAATTTGAAAAAGTAATTTTATTGAAAATTGAATATCAAGCTATTATTCTATGAATCGAACATAAAAGGTAATACAATATTGTTTAATAGTTTGAATAGATGGAAAAATATTTTTAAATATCGGAAAGATTTGTTAGGTAATGAGCAATAAATAGTAATCAAGAATTGATGAAGATTTATACAATTTGCAATATATTTTTTTAATTGTATTTTATTTGATGAAATTTGGGCGACTAATTTCTTTTTAATCGATCAATTAAATACGTTTGAGAACAGCTGTATGAACGATCTCTTGAAATATCAATATAACTACCCCATTATTTTTTGAAATAACCATTAAAAATATCTATCGATTTTGTGAGTATTCTTTTTTTACAAGATTATGTGTCAGAAAATTCATATTGAACCATTTATGTAATATATGATATATGCTATTATTTTGGAATTTATATCATGAAATTATTTGAACTTATTTCAAAATTCTGAGCTAGGTCAATTTTGACCTAAAAACGTCATATTCATAAAATTAATTCTTAATCTTGAAAAATATGATGAATTTATCTAGATATGTATCTGAATTCGATTTTACAGTTATTTATCTCCGAAGTAAAATCATCGTCAATCAAAAATAAATAACAAGTCTAAATTATTTGAAAAATAATCTTGAGAGTTAAATGCTTCCCATAGCTTTGCTGTAACAACAGCATCGAATTTTATAACATCACATTCATTCTCCTCTTCTTTTTTAATGCTCGGGGCAACTTTTTTGAGGTGCTTTTTGCTGTGATATTTACTTTTTGCCAAGTGGGTATTGTATCTGTTCTTTATATTGTTTGGGGATCTTCCATCAAAGAATTTATTTATTTTTGACCAGCATGATCCATATTCGTCAACTTTTTCAAGTAATAAGAGATCTTCTTCATGAGACCAAGGTCCGTTAGTCAGATCTGGACTAAGGTAGTTCTGAAATCTATCACGGCATTGACGAGCAGTTCTTCCCGGCAAATGCTGGGCAATGGTGTTCCATTTTTTAGCTCCGTACTTCTGGACTGTTTTCCTAAGAAGTTCATCTTCAGCTGCAGAGAATTTGGTTCTTGAGAGGTTCAAGTCATCAAAGTCCATTGTCCTTCTTCTCAAATAATGAAATAAAATAGTTATTTCTATGGCTCACAATTTTTGTTAAGAAAAGCCATCATTAGCATCGGGATTATCGAAATAATATATTTTACCATTTCGAATAATTTATCATATCCATTTTGATCGCAATATCGTTTCATTCAAAATTTATAACTTTATATAACTTCTTGATAAATAAATAGAAAAATGACAATTACATCTTTTATTTGTTTTGGATAAAATTTTTCAATATATTGACTCAATCCAACAATTATGAATAAATTCATGCATGAATAAAACAGACATTGGCAACTAAGCATAGTTGAAATTTTATGAACTAAATTCATAGCAATTTGAAAATCAATATTATCAATATGCAAAGCATCCCTTTGAATAAACTCTTAACTACGATGTATTGAAAACAATATGCAATTCAAAAGTATAAAGACCTTCAAAAAAAAAAACGAATTTGTACCATTAATTTTTAATATTGGGTTATAAACGTACAAGGAATTTTATTTAATTCAAAAATAGAAAATGCCTCAAAATAGCATTCATTCCCATTTCGTTATTGATATTGCTTCCTCTGTCTCAGTTTATATTGGATATTTTCTGCAAATGATCAAAATGCTATAAGCATCCTAAAATTAGATACGAGCCAAATTATTTTTATTTTTTTTGAAATGATGAAATATTTAAATCCAAAGGCAATTATTGAGCATGAAAATATCTATATTCCATATTTGGAGAGGATATTCTATCTTTGACTCAAGTTGATATATCAACAAATTTGATTTTGTCATATTTCTTTAAGTTGGATTGGGTCCAACGATAACACTGTAGCAATGAATTAAAGTTGAGTTAATGAATATATTTTCACGAAAAAAGTTTGTGATTTCTTGATAATCCCAATTTTTTACTATCCAAATTAAATCGGATCATTCAACATTGATAAAAGAGTTGGCATATATTCTGAATCAGTAGCTATGATTGAGCTTTATTATACTTCATTATATAGAAATTTCGAAATTAATTCAAAATTTCTTCAATATCAGTAAATCCGAGCTCATGAGCTATCTGCATTGCAGTGAAACCTTTGCCATTTGCGAGATCTTTCTTAGCACCATTTTCGACTAGATATTGGACAACACCTGCGTTTCCATAGTTTGCTGCAAGAATCAAAGCAGAATTTCCGTTTGAATCCTGGATATTCAAGTCACATCCATTTTCAACTAAGAATTGAATGACATCGGAGCTTCCTTCTTGTATAGCAATCATGAGTGCCGTTGCTCCAGTTTCATCAGTATTATTCAAATTTACTTCATTGTTGAATAAAACAACAATTGATTCAATTGAATTTTGTTGGCTTGCGATGATTAAAGGAGTGAAACCAATTTTCGTTTTTGATTCTATGTCAGCACCTTTTGACAATAGGAATGTAACTATTTCTGGCCTATTATTTGCAGCAGCAAATGTAAGTGGCGAGCAACCTCTTTCATCTTTCAAATTTACTTCACTTCCATTTTCAACAAGGAAAGATACAATTGGGAAGAATCCGTATTCGCATGCTGCCATCAATGCTGTCTTTCCATATTCATCTCTATCATCAATTGTTTTAGATGAGCTTAATTTAGCAAAGAAAGACTGGAAGTTATAGTACATCAAAGTTGATTCCCAAGGAAAATCGAGAGCATACTTTTCTTGAACATATTTGGCTGTTATATTATGATGGTTTTCGATGCAATTCATCAGACATCTTGTAGAAACAAAGCATTTTGTTTCACATTTATGGATAATCTCCGTATTATTTCCGATAAATGCGTTTTCCATTGTTTCATCTGTGAATTTTTGGCCTTTTTCTAATAAATAATCGAAGCATTTGACTGCACCACATCTTGCACAATAGTCAATAAGGCTATAGGTTTCATCAATCATGATGTTAAGATCTTGCAAACCTCTGAATTTTTCGATATCGTCATAAAAAATTATGTTTTTCAAAGAATCTTTTGGATAGATTTTATAGATATCTTCAAGGGACATGTTAGTATATTCTTCTGGAATTTCTCCTGAAATTACATCAGATTTTATAAGAGCTGCTTGAAGCGCTGGATTTTGGGAAAATGGATATTCGATTTTTAGCAAGTTTTGACTTTTCAAGAAAGAAGATACAAGTTTTACATAAGGTAAGAGATTCTTTAGTGATTTACTTGATATACAATCAAATAAATCAAGAATTGCATATGGAGAAAAAATATTATTATTAATTATTGATTGAAAATTAGAAACAATCATATCAATTAAAGGTTCACTGATATTCCAAACCATTTCAGTTGTCATAACTAACTCCTGAAACTCAGGTGTCAAAGATTTCCATTTGCTCATTTTAATATAAAATAAAAGTGCCAATTGTTTTATCTGTAAAAATAAAATAGAAAAAAGCTCGGTCACCGGGAATCGAACCCGGATCAAAAGAACGACAATCTTACATGATAACCATTACACTATGACCGATTTACATTATTTATAAAATTATTTAATTGTAGAGAATAATTTAAAATTTCAAACTCAGCAAACATTATTACTCTGTGCTTCCAAGTTAATATACCAAAATATAACAAGCTTCAGATATGATTACTTCTTTTATTTGACATATACATCATTCCAATTCCATAAAATAGATTCATTTATTATTGTTGTAAAAAGTGTCAATTATGATTTCTCATTATCTAAATACCGTTTCCAGCAAGAGCTTTACGTTTAAAATCACATCAAATGCTGTTAAACAGATAAAGGATCTCCTAAGACTTGATAATGAGAATAAAATGCTAAGGTTAAAGTTAAAATTGGAAGATTGTGGTGACAATATATATAATTTTACTTTGGAATCTGCATTAAAAGACGGAGATAAACTATTTGAACAAGATAGCGCTTCTGTTGTTCTTGATAGCAAAACATTTCAATATCTTAAAGATGCTGAATTAGATTATGCGCAAGACGATTTCTCATCTTATTTTAAAGTAAATATCCCTCAAGGTTCAGAATTCCATCATTCTCATCATGGAGACGCAGCATGTTCAGGTCATCATCACCATCACAAATGTGGTTGTGACTGCTGCTAATATGATGCTTCTAACATATTTCCTATATGAAAATATGATATGTTCTATTTAATAAACATGAAACCCAAAGAATTTTGTAAATTTTACTAGTAAATAACTGAGATTGAATTGTTATCCCGATTCAAACAACCATAAACTTTCCTTTTAAAAGCAAATGTCTTTCATTTAATGTATAATCCCTTTTTTTACCTGTATCAATTCTTTGAAGCTTTATATTCGAATACAAATTAATCATTAGTAAGCTTGAAGAACGATTTTATAAACATATCTTTATGATTCGAGGGTTCGGCCGATCATGATCTCTTAAGTTCTCAATTTTTATGATTTTTGTGAACCTATTGACCAATAGAAAACAGAATGTCAAAAATCTAATGATGCATCCAAATGCAGGCAATTTACTTATATCACGCTTAATTAAAAAATTGAACGAATGATCCATGATCTTTTAAAAATAAAGGCCGATTATATTTATTTACAAATATCAAATGAAAAAGGTACATTCACTATTTTTGACAAAATTTTAAATTTTCATGGGGTTGTAAATCTTATAATAACTAGATGAATAAGGAATAAATCCCAGTATGATGTGCATCATTATATTAAACACTATATGTAAGGCTGGTGATTCTATTAACACTTATGAAGATCTATAGTATTTGAGCAGATAAATTTGATAATTTCCAAAACTCTTATATTTCAAAATTAAAGTGTGCAAAAGCATTTAAATGAGAGCAAAAAGAGATTGATGCTGCTAAAACTAGGTGTTAAATTCCAATTATTTCGCATCACAAGAACTACCCAGTAAATTCGGCCATCTTTTTTTGCAATTATTCTCTATTACACATATAATATAATGGTTAGGGTTTGGGGAAAAGTTACTAGAGAATTATTGACTTTTGAAATAATGCAGAATTTTACTTGAAGAAATCATTAATTTATGAGTTCCAAATTGCTAACCATGACGAAAGATCATTAAATTTGCTACAATTAAATACATTTATTGCAGAATTAAGATTATTGAAATTAAAAATTTGAACTATTGCCTTTTTGAATAAAAATTTAAATTTGATTATATAATCATGATAATATATTAGAGAAATTAGAAGAAAATATTTTAAACCATTCAAATATTTTGAATGTCTTATCAATTTAAAATATTAAAAGATAGCTTGATTTTATCATCATTAGTTGTTATCAAAGTTTTCTTCTTTTGATGAACAACAGTAAATGATTTGTTAATACCTTGTCTTCCTTTTACGCAGCAAAATCAAAAAGTATGATGATAATCTTGCTGTCAATTTTGAAACTCTCTGATTTACAAGTAAGCATTCCTTTGGAAAAGCAGTCCTATTCTGTTTTCAAGATATTTTAAAGCCCCCATTTCATACAATGCGCAGATCTATTCGAAATTGCAAGAACTCTCAAGAAAAATGCTGCAGTAAAGAAGATTCCAAAGTTTCTAGCATCAAAAATTTACAACCTTAATACAACAGTTCAAGAGAAGCTCGATAAGAAAATATTTAACCATAAAGCTGGATACCATTCGATATTTACTATTGGATATAATAAAAAGTTAATTGTAACATATTTTACATGCTCTTTGCTGACTCTGTTCCATTAGATTACCATATATCTGTTTGAAATCTAAAAAATTTTTACGATTTTAACCATGTGTTGTTGAAATCATATACCATTCTTAGCTAAAGTATAGTTTATGAGTCTGTCACCATCTAACTATATGAATTTTCAAAAATGTCAAATATGTTCATTTTTTCTGTATATTCAGCCACAATTTCATGTAGTTGTACTATTCAACTATTATTTAATAATTATATCGATTTAAATATATGATGAGATGCTTAGTTCTCCCGGCAATCGATTTTTAATCACAATTTTAACTTTCCAAAAAAAATTCGAAAATAAAAATTCCTCACAATTTTCTAAGTTTCCTAACTCGCCAAATCTCTAGCCAATTTTTTTTGGCCCGTATAAATATTGTTAGGCACTATATAGGGATGCTATTTATCCTATTTTCATCCCATTTTACTGTTATCGCCCAGTGAATGTACCTTTCAAATGAAATATTTCTGAAGTAAGGAAATTATTTTTGAGATCACTTCAATATTTCATAATGTATGCACTATCTGGCAGCTTTGGGCTAACAACATTTCTCGATACTAGTTTTCCAATGTTTGAGTTACCTGTTATAGATGCAGGACAAATTGCTCATTCATTACCAACAAGCCCTCGTAGAACAATCGTAACCGACTCTCGTAAAGCTTTAGTTCTTGATCTTGATGAAACGTTGATACACACATCAACCTTTCCACCACATTCAGATGTTGAATCACTCAAATTCGATGATTCTCCAGATTACGTTTTCTTACGACCAAATGTCAGAATATTTCTTGACAAAGTTTCAGAACTATTTGAAGTATTCATATTTACGGCTGGTACTCAGAACTATGCAGAGCGAATTCTTGATCTACTTTGCCCTCAAATTGATCATTTTCATAGATTTTATAGAGATTCTTGCAAAATTAGAGGAAACAAATGCAAGAAGGACCTTAGCAAGTTCGGAAGACCACTTTCTCATGTAATTATGGTTGATGATAATTATCATATGAGAGATTTGTATCCACAAAATACTATTTATATAGACAAATGGACTGGAACTCCATATGATACTACTCTTCTTGACAAATTACTTCCACTTCTTGAAACTTGCGCAATTTCCGATGATGTAAGGCCTATAGTTAAAGACCATGGCGAAGAATGCCGCCAGACAAGGAAATTATTTTACTAAATTTTGTTTGTTTTCGGTTTTATACGAATAAACTCTTGTTAATTATTAGTATTATTATTAAAAAACCAGGTTAGCTTTTGTAACTTAAATAGTCATAGGATAGATTGATTAAATACCGCATTTCATGGCAATCATTCTTCTTTACAAATCTCTCGATTATTATTTGCATGATTTTAATTGTTATTATTCCATTTTACTGACTCTTCTATGCATAATTACACAAGATATTGTATAGACTGTAATTTTAATAATTGCAGGGAGATGCACGTTTAAAATTAGGGGATTTGCAAGATTTTCATGGCAAAGATTAAGATCAATGTATTTAATCTTACGCCATTAAATAAAGTGTTTGCATGCTGCAAGATAGGAGTATTTCATACAAGCCTTGTAATCGATAATAAGATCGAATATTATTATGGATTTTCAATGTATGGGTGCACAGGAATAGATAGTCCAGAAAAGGTAAATCATCTTCCATCAGTTATGAATGGATCTTTTAATTCATCCTATGAAATCGGTGAAACTTCATTAACACGGATGGAATGTCGTGAAATTTGCAGACAGCTAAAGCAATCACCTGAATGGCTCAGCGATTTTTATAATATATTATATCATAATTGCAACCATTTTACCTTAGAACTCTGTAAACTTTTGGTTGGTGAAAACAATATGCAGAATTATCCTTATTGGGTTGTAAGAGGTGAAAGGATAGGAAGATTCCTTTATTCTATATCGTTATCACATTTTTTATGCTATCTCAAAAGATTACCTGGTTTTGGTTCTCCTTATAAGCCAGCAGAGATCAAATTTCCATCAGAGTCTAATGAGGAAGAGGAAAATATTGAAAATGTTAATACTGAAACTAGCAAAAATGATACTGTTGATTATTGAAATTTCGCCACATTTAATTTTGTTTCTTTTTTCATAAATATTTGTTTGTATTTTTTGTTTTAATATTCATTTTATTTTACCATACTGCGATTTGTATTAGACAAATTTGGGAAAAAAAATTTCGTAAGTTTAGAAGACATGAAAAAGAGGATTTTACAAAAGATTTTCTATGATTACTTAAATTCTATATTCTTTCTTGAAATAGTCAACAAAACCTTGATAGAATAAATTATATTTGCCAGCATCGGGATTATCTGATTGCATGCCATAAAAACGCATTGTATCATATCTAGCATGGTGGCAGTTATGGCTAAAAGTATCAAATTGTTTATCTTTGGTAAATTCGATCATTTTCTCAGTAAACTCCTTAACTGTTACTTTTGTATTTGGAACTTGTGGTTCTACGATGTCTAATTTAAAATGATACTTCTTAAAATCAAATTCCTTCATACCGTTCATAAAATTGTACACTTTGGAAACGAAGACTTGGTTGGCTGACATATATTCAATTAATACGTATCCTTTTGTTGTTTTACAGACGCATCCGGAGTGTGATAAAACTTTTCCTAATTTTGGAAGGGCGGAAGGAACATCCAATGGCCTTCTCACAGGGACACATGTTAATATTTCAGCATGGTAAACATCTGGGGTTACCATAAGTCTCAGGAAACTGTTTGAGCAGGAACCTGTGATTTTCGTCATTTATTCGAATGTTCGGCTCTTTTCAATCAATAAATTTTTTTTTCTTTTAAGATTGATCGTAGAAATAATAATTAATGCTATTATTAAACCTTAAAAGCACGCTATTTCTATTCAAATTTTGCGATCACATTCAATTTACTATTTTTATGATCTTAATTTTTTTGAAATTTTGTTGCATTTTATTTAACATAAATATTTGAACTTTTGAATTGAAAATTTTTCAAAAAAGGGTTTATTTATGCTTTTTCGATCATATGATCGAGTTTAAGATCATATCTTTATCACTGATAATTTTATACAGTTTGTTGGTTTATTTACAGCATAATTATGGATACTGTTGTTCAAAAAAGTGACGACTTCCACTTTTTCTTCATCTGGGATAATTTTGATCGAAAAATTAGTGGATTTGTAGAATGCATCAATAAAGTACAATAATTTTATTAGATGCCCATATAAGGGATCGTTGATTCATTTAACAAATCCAAGAAGATATTGATAAAATTGAATATTACATTTAATAAGTTTTATATTAGAAACGGAATATTTTCATGGTCTATTTCATATTTTCTGAGTTTGGGTCAACAGAACATAAAATTATTTTCAAGATTGAATAATAAGAATCAAAACTTCTATTCATTACTGCAAGAAATAATGATCGATATTTGTCTTTGATAGGAATCCAGTGTTTATCGCAAAAATCAATGAATTGATCAATGTATCGGAATGAGTTGATTGATGATGCAAGCATCAATGGACTCATGTTTTCATTGTTGTAAACAATGTATTTCTCTTGAACATGAAGACAAATGTATGTAATTTCACGATCATTAGACAATGCAGCATAGTGAAGATATGAATTTCCGTCTTTGTCAACAAAATCTGGAAATACATATGATGCAAGTGCTCGCATAGAAAGTTTCTTATTCATCTTAATTGCGAGATGGAAATAACTCATTCTATTATCAAACTTCTTGTTGAGGTCACAGCTATTTAGATGCAACAAAGTTCTAATTTTGTCTGTGTATTCATTCTCGATACAGATCTGCAATGGCGTCTTTCCGTTATATTCCAAATCAGCATCTGCACCTGCAGTGATAAGTAATGCCAAAAGAGCCGGATTTTTATTATATTTAATAACGCACATAACAGGAGTTTCTCCATATTTATTCGCTTCATTTACATCAGGGTACTTGTCATTGTTCTCAAAGATACTATTGTGCACCGCATAAAACCATTCGTCATCGTGCTTTGAAATATATGTAAATAAAGTCTCATCACTGTCTTTTAATTTTTCTCGGAGTTCTCTTATTTCTTCTTGATTTATTGTCAAAGGAGGAAGAGATAATGGACTCAATACATTCCAAGCTGAAATAAGTCCATTAATAATTGCATTTTGTGTTACATTATGGCCATTTTTATTTAATGCATGGTAATTTACGCCTTGATTAATAAGAAGTTTTAATGAATCAGATGGGTTATAGGATATTATTAGCTTCATATAATCATTCATTTCCAATGTTTGAGAGAGCATAGATGTTGCTGCCATAAGAGCAGTTTCTCCATAAATATTAGTGAATTCAAGCTCAGCACCACTTTTAATGAGGAGTTGGAGAATATCAACCTGATTATACAAAATTGCATCAAAGATAGGAGTTTTACCATCAATACTTGCTGAATGAAAGTCGAAACCATGATAAATCATATATTCTACAAGTTCATAAGAACCAATACTAATTGCTTCAGCAAAGATTGAATAGTGATCTTCCTTTGGGTAATACTTGATTAATTCCTTTACAATTTCAATATACCTCCGTCTTATATAGAGCTTGACAGAATCCATATAAAGAATGGGGTGAAATTGTAAGATTAACTTCATGAATTCTGTATTTTTGCACATGAACAATACCGATTTAGCCATGTGGTTGCTTTGATTTACATCAGCACCACCTTCCAGAAGCATTTTGGCTCCAACGTAATTATCGGTAATTATGCATTCTGACAATGGTGTTCCAACTTTATAATTAGTATGATTTAGATCGGCACCATTATCGATTAAGAACCTTAAAACTTCGTAATTCTTTAAATATTTAAATATTATTGTATCTCCATCATAATATGATGGAAGATCTAATGAGGCACCATGGTTAACGAATACTTGAAGGATTTGAATAATCGTTCTTGTATTTGTTTGATATTTAATCGCGTTGATTGGATATTGTAAATTATTATTACAAATATCATAATTTCTTTTTTTGCTTAATAAAAGGTCAACAATTTCTGGTGTACTGTATGCAACTGCATAATGAAGAGGGATCTCTCCATATCTATCTTTTGCCCCAAGATCAGCTCTATTTTCGATTAAGAATTTTGCAGCTGCAGGGTTTTTTATCAGAGCAAAGTGGATGGGGAGAATGCCATCAATATTTTCTGTTTTAATACTTAATTTCTTTTTAAAAAGGTATTTGATCATACTTGCATTTGGATCGATTTTCGAATCTCTAACAGCTGCATGATGCATTAAAGTGTTATTTTGAGAATCAAGAATATTGAGTTTCAATCCACAAGAAACACAGTAATTCAACATTTCATGATTACAATATCGAACAATAGCATGAACTGGATAATATTCGACATAATAATTTGACTCTGAATCAATAATGTGTTCTGGATTAAACCATTCCATTCCCAAAACTGTGGATGGACTAACAGTTAAGGAAATTTTTTGAGCAAAATTTGAGCCTTTTTCTATCAATAATTTTAGCATTTCTAGGTCATTACAAAGCATTATTGGATGAATACCATCAAAAACAATATTAACATCCATACCATTATTAATACAATATAGGACTTGAGATGTGTTTCCATCATAAATTGATTTTAAAAAATTGAAAATCACAAATAACATTGGTTCGGAGATAAACTCTTGATATATTAGATTTTGATCACCTTCAAAAGAGTTCTAAACGTCGCCATTTTATATTCAATAATTTCCCATGTACTGACTGTTATTTTGAAATTAGAAGTAATGCTATCAAGCATTTCTTTGTAACATTTGTCTTCTGACGCAAGGTCGCTCAAAACTGCTCTTAAAGTTTTTCCATTACTGAAAATAATATCGCTAATTTTTCTTTTACTTTTATCATTATTTGAGAATAAGAACTTGAAGAATGAAACATCTTTTCTTTCAATAATTGCTTCTGTCAATTTCGATATACTTACATTTCTTATCAACAATTGATACAATAAAGCATAAATTTGACCTTCTGATTCATTTGGTTTTACGATATTTACATATGCATAAGTAAGTAAATCATATTTGTCAATAAATTGATCATCAACATTTTCGAAAAAGAATGAATAATACTGAGAATTGAAAATTTCAATTGATTTGTGTATTAACTCAACTTTGATTTCATCGCTGGCTTTTTTAAAGTATTGTTTCATTTTTTCACCTTCATCATTAATATTCCATTTATGATGAAAGAAATATTTACAGACTTGTGTTTTAATCAATTCATCAGATGATTTAAGAGCTAAGTCAAGTGGAAATGATACACTATTGTTTTGATCAAGTAAGTAAATACTATATTGAAAATGATTTTGAACTAATAAAGAATTAGAATTCTTAATACAATAATAAATAGATGTGTTTCCAAGTTCATCTTTTATTTTGTAATCAGCAGGTAATTCAAGTAACGCCATTGCCAATTCTGTAAAGTTATTTTCACATGCATATATCAAGAGTGTTTTTGATCCCTTTTTCAAATTGGCATCTTTGATTAAATTATTGTTTTTAATTTCATCAATGATAATTGGCTGATATTTAACATCAATTTCGTGAAATGAAAATAATGCATTCTTTATACTGCCGTAATAAAGAAAAATAGTATGAATTACAACAAATGAATTAAAACTTTCTTTTATATCGAGATCAGATAAATCAATATGTAATTTCATACGACTAACTACAATTTTTTTAGATGAAGAATAATTATAAATGTCAAAGCTATGAATAATTCCATTTTCTTGACAATAATTAATATAAGCTTGAGGATCCTCTTTTTCCGGAATAATCTTAAGAATTCTGGGAGTTCATTTGAATCTAATTCATATCTTTTGATAGTTGGATCAGATTTGTAATAAAAAAAATTAATCCTTTGTAAAATGTCTAAATGCTTTGAAAATTGTTTATAAATTTCATCCAAATGATTTAAATATGCAGCGTTCTTGATGAATTTTGCATGTAAGCTCCACTCCATCAACCAAAAAAGTGTCATTTCGCAACTACGATTATTTTTAATTCAAATACTGTTATGCCTCAGAAATAAAAATAATCATAATCAAGATAATTCCAATTTTATATACTTTTTGGGTCATAAAGTGCCCGTAGAAAACAAACAAAATTATCAATATTTTTTTAATCCGAAATTTGATGAATGCTTTCATTAATTTGAAGGCATAGAGTCAAATTTCATTCACAAAGAAACAATCTATTACGAATAACAGCAATAAATGAATGAAAATGAACGACAGCTATCCAAAAACTTTTAAATTTAATACAAATAATTTTGAAACAAGAAATTACATTTGTTCTGTTACATCTACAAAATATGATAATTCTTAACATTACATATTATCACTACACTATAACCATGAAGCAAAAATATTTCCGAAATCAAGATAAATGAACGAATTAACGAAAAAGGAATGTTTCATAATACATTATTAAGTGAAAGTAAATCAGAATTTCAAAATGATGCTGGAAAACCGAACAACTTTGTTGAAATTTCGGAAGATAATTTTTCGGAAAACGAAATCGAATTAAATCATAATCATAAACTTAACAACAATAAAAATTTACTTGAAAATAATGGATTTAGGATTGAATTATCTTATATTCCTGAGAAAACCTATTCATATTCATGGAGATTTGAATATAATATTACTTTTTATAACATTCCAGGTAATTATATGTATTTATATTTTTATGTTGATTCATT